TATCCTTAGTTACACATTTTAAATGTATGTAGACAACTGTGTTAATGGGAATTCCTGGAGTGCGAATCTCAGGCAGCAATAAAGCATTACTTTATTCTAGCTGATATTAGGGAATACGATGCAGGCACTGCAATGCTGTGAAGAGTCTTTAATGCAACTCCCCGAGCAGCTGGTGCCTCCATGCTCTGTATATTTTGTAGTTGCCATTTGCCATGAATGAAGTCCATAATGACTATCCATTTTAACCCAAATAGCAGTTTATTAGTAATTACACTTGCTGGCCATTGCTACCATTATCAAGATTTAGTTGGAACTGAAATACAGGACACGTTACAAGATTACAAATGAATTCAAGAGATGACTATAACAAGTTAATCTCTGGGAGATGGTGCTTGTTGCACTTGCCCATTCTTCCAGAAAATGGAAAGTTCAGTTTTGAAACATAAGGGTCCAGAGTGACTCACCTCTCTTACAAATGATGAAGTTAAAATATGTCGTTGTTTTATATCAGCGCTACAGCGTTTCTAGTCTCTGGCATTTATAAGATTCCTGCATTTGAAGCTACAAGGTAATAAACCTGTCAAGCAGTCTGTTGTGCACGGTGTGACCCAATGCAACCTGCGCGGCGCAGCGGTCTCTGCAGTCAGAGGGGTGGCGATCTGAGCGTCTCGGTTCTTTGCATTTACAGCCCAGCAGAGCTCTGGCAGAAGCCTTTGGAGCAGTTCCTGTCTCTTCGGTAAACAAGCTTTTAGGCTTGTACAAATACATATTTAGCACTGGGGTGGTGTTTACCCAGGTAGATACGTATTTTGGCACGTGTTGACCCTACGTGCGGTATTCATTTGATGCACCATCACAGCTCCAAGGGAGGAGCTATGGTCTGTCAAATAAATATGAGCTGCTTCATGCATCACCGTGTGAAATGTGCATATTGAGTCCTAGACAGACTCTGTTGCTGGACTTGCCATGATCTGTCATTTTAGTTCCTTCTGGGTTCTGGAGTAAATGGTCTGATGAAAGACAATGTCTCTCTGGCTCTGTCTTGGCCTGTGGTTTAAAGTGGTCTATGAGCATGTGCACTTAGCTTGCATGCCAACCTTCAGGGGGAAAAGAAGGGTGGTTAGCAAATGCTGCTTGTCACCAGGGGGCTTTGAGATGGACACGGATAGGTGTTGCTTCTATTGCTTTCCTCCTCATTCATCTTGTCTTTATCTCGGAAGTCAGTGAATGTCTTGATGCATTTTAAAGGGACACTGAGCTTTCTTTCCCCCTACCTATCTGAGAAAACTCAATTGTCTTAAGCACTTTTTCACTGGATAGTCTCATGGGGTTTTCCTCAGGGCTCTGATCTCTCATCAGTTTGTGTCCGTGGACATGAACCCACTGTGGGTAGAGGGAGGCAGTTTAAGCACTGCTCTTTTGCTGTGCAAAGGACGGACAGAAGCACATATGTATTGTTCTAGTTAAGTATATTCGATTTAGTTATCAGGTGCCCTCCTGGGATAAGAAATTTAACAAAGGCATATTGGCAAAGATTTAATCCTGAAGGACTGAGGTGATGCTGGGAGAAACCAAAAACCAACCCAGTGGAGCCTGTCAACAGGGCTGTTCTGCCTTTTGGGTACTCATTTGGAAAGGTTGGCAGTTCCGTGGTCTTGGTCTGCCCCTGCCTGTCTGGAGCAGCGGGGGCCAAGATGACATCTCTGCTTGGTTGGTAGTTGGGAACCTGCTTTGTATGAACTCTCGCCCCAAATCCTGTCATTAATAGCGTAATGGGGAGAGAACGATGTGCAGCACATAGGAGTTTGTACCTGAAACCCACTCCGACTTCAGTTTAAGTGGTGGTTCATGCTCTGAACACATATCTGCCTTGGCTTCCATTTGAATTTGGGGCATTCCTGCTCCCATTGGCCTCCAGAGCACTCATCCACTGAAGTCCGATTCACGCTGGTTTTTGGGTGGCCGGACTGAGGAGGCGAGAGTGCAGTGAAGAGGTCTTTGGTTGTTGTGGGTGTCGTTCTTGTTCTTGACACCGATCCTTTACCAGATACGTGTGGGATATGTTTGGTAGTTGTAGCCAGAGATGTGGGTAGGTACATCTGAAATACTATTTGAAGAGTCTATTGGATTTTAAATCCTTATGGAACCACAGGTGCCATTAAGAAATTAAACTGGCAGATATTACAGCTAGTTACCATTTGTATGGAGAAAAGGCACAAACCAGTTGTTCTGTGCTGGCTCCACACTTTATAAATACGCTTTTCTTAGATCTGGACAATTTCTTAGTGAAGACAAAGAATAGTGGTGCTGGGCAAGGGAATTAACAGCACAAGCGCTTCAGTGCTAGTTTTATTGGTGCAGGGTGTGTGCATGTACTGGGAACAGGAGTGATGTTTGCCGAATAGAAAAGGGTCAAATCACTGGGGCAAGATGTTTCCAAGAGGATATTGTAAATAATAGGGCATTTAAAATAAAGCTAAGACTCTGAGAGCAGGAGTTTTCAAACGTGTAAATGGTTGAAATTGGGCAGTTCTTTAAAGATAAATGAGTGTAGGGTCCAGATGGCCTTGTGGGTTGGCAAACAGGGCAGCATGTTTGCTACATGCAGGACTTGAATGAAGGAGCAAATCTAGGATTTCCAAGCAGATGGAGCTGAGGGAGTCAGCAAAGCTGTTCCTATTGGCAAGAAGTGGGGGAGTGTGTAGCTTTTCCCAGGTGGCCCACGGACAACTATTGAAGTACGAGGAGAGGCCAAACATTCTGCCTTCACACTTGTGCAGCTGTGCACTGCAGGGATGGGGGTAATAGAGGAATGCTTGATTGTAGAGTGGACATGGTTTGCCAGTCCTCCCTGTCTACCTTCAGGCTCTGGAAAATCCTCTGCCAATAAGTAAAACTCTTGTGCAGATCTGTGCTTCTGGCGAGATCTGAGGAGGGGACCTGAGTGGCCTGGCTTCCCAGCCCAGCCTGAATGAGATTTTTGAAAATTATGTTCAGTTCTTATTTTTTTAACGTTTTACTGATCTTTGTTAGCAACATGGGGAAGGAAATGCCTTGATGGTTTTGTTTTGTTTTGTTTTTTTCATCAGTGTCCCCTTAAGATAATAGATGGTGAGAGGAGCAAGGTGAGAGAAGGCCTTGAGAAACCGAGTTCCTGCCAAGTGACAAGTGAATGCTAGGAGTTACTGTGCATTCCCTTCCTGCATCTTTTACCTTCGTAGTTGAATTTAATCTGTTTGTCAGCATGTTCCTTCTGGGTGCATGCTGCATGCTACACCAGGGTAACGTAAGCACGCGCTGACCTGCCATCGGTGGGGTCGGAAGGCTCAAAGGTTACCCTCCCTGTTGCTTTCAATTCTGATACTGTAAAGAAGTTTGGGGACTTGAAGTCTGAAAAAAAAAAAGATTGTTAATTCAGCTGGAACGGCGGTCTAACTCTGCCTCCCCCCGTTGCTAACCTCTGTTTTGGCAGGTCATTTTTGGGGGTGTATGTTTCCATAGGTTATCCTTTTAGCTGGTTAAAATTGTATTTGAAGGAGAGAGTTGCATGGGATAGTCTGTCCACAGGAGTCAGGTTGATGTTGATGATGATTATTAAAATCAAAATCCCCCAGTCTTCATAGCACACACAGAATTGGGCCTGGCTGGGTTATATTTACCCTGGGCAAGTGGTTTCTACATGCCTTTTTCTTCTGATAACTTTGTGTCTCCTTTAGACCCCTTTTCAGTCGTCTGGATTGGATACAAGTAGAACGACTCGGCATCATGGTCTGGTGGACAGAGTGTACCGTGACAGAAACCGCCTTGGGTCACCACACCGGCGCCCGCTGTCTGTGGACAAACACGGGCGGCAGATATCCTTTGGTTTATGCCTTTGTCAGCATTAACAATATTTCATGCAAGCCTGTTTTTACAATTAACTTTGAAAAAAACAACCCCCCACATTGCAGAGAAGGCTGTATGTGAGTTAATTTTGGTTTTGCCACTGATTCACAGTGTAACTGTGATATAAACACTTCCATACAGGATCACACTAGAAGTCCAGTCTACTCCCACAGTCGATTGTCTTAAAGGAACAAGCTAAAGATCCAGTATAGGACAGCTACAGAATAACTTGCTTGGTGGGGAAGTTGTTTCCAAACCACAGGAAGGTAATACCATTTCCCTTTCAAAGCTGTTTTCCAAGCTAATATAGTTGGATTGTGTCATTAGCCCTATACATGCTTAATCTTTCACAAATCCTTCTCTTGCCTTCACTGCATCTCAGTTTCTGTAGCTGTAAACTGGGACAATAGGACTTTGTAACAGGGATCAGCAACTTGCAACCCGTGGGCTAAATCAGAATCTCTTTGCGGGCCTGTCTGGCCCACTGAGCTGAGCCAGCTGTGGTGTTTGGCAGCAGGGGAAGTTTGTAGAGACATTTAGTTATTGAGATTCTCTGAAGAGTATGAAAGATGTGCAAAATGGGAGCACTAGTAAGACTGAATCTTCCAGAACTTAAAAGGACCAGGACTGAAGGATTCATTGGATCTAATCACTATTTTTTTTATTGGAAGCTGACTCATATCTGGTTAGCATCTGATAAACATCCTGCCAGCCGTAAGACTTAATTAGCTGCTGCTTAAAAGGTTGGCTGGCTTTTAAACTGTGACAATACTAGACCGACTTGATAGGGCTAAAGGAGATGAGGGAATGGGGGAGCCCGGAGGGACAGCTCCCTGTCAAGAGGGCAGAGGCAGGCCTCTCGGCTACTGGGAATGTGGCTCAAAGCTGCTGATGGCTCTCTGGTTAAGAGGGCCATTGTTTTTTTTTTTTAGGTGAGCTGGTTTCCAT